CCGACTTGGTGGCTGCCACCCTTATGGGTGTGGTCGCCATGTCCCCCTCAAAGGTTATCTTGATGCTCTGGCCCCTGACCGACTTCATTCCTTTACTTGTTTTTATTCTTCTTGCTTCGACATTCTCCTTCATCGAAGGGAACATCGATACATCTCCGAGATCATCAGCCCACTTGACGTACTTGCGGTCGTCAAGCACGACAAGTCCCTCTTCTATTGCCCGTTTAAGGTCCGGGCAATCCCTCTTGATATGATCTTCTCCTCTACAATAGACGCATGAGTTCCTGGGAGTTGACGCGCTGTCGTCGGCGCCCCTAGACATCGATTTCCTAGCCGCGTTGGGGTCAGGCGACTTTGGATATGGTTCTGATGAGACACCATATCCCTCTCTCTCATTTCGACTGCGCGAATCGTTGCGCCCGTCTCCTCCAGACCCTCCTTGCTCATACTGCTCTCGCGAGTCATTCCACCGGTCCCTCGAGTCATAGTGTCCTCGTGACTCATTGCGTCGGTCCCCTCGGTTGTACCATCCTCGTGTCCCGTCGCGCTGCTCTCTCGCTTCTCCTCCGCGCTCAAACCGTCCACGTGACCCTTCTTGTCGTTACCAGTCCCTATCTCCTCTCTCATATCTACTCCCCCAGTCCCTATCTCCTCTCTCATATCTACTCCCTCTGTAGCCATCTCGACCCGACCTCTCATATCTGTCGTCCCTATATCCATCCCGGTCCGATCTCTCGTATCTGCAGTCCCTCTCCCATCGGCCGCGGGAGTCGCCTCTACCCCGATCGGCCTCATAGCGAGGGCTTCGGGGGTAATCATCTAGCCTCCTGGCTCGCACAAACAGCTTGCGATCTCTGCGGTCTCGGTCTATCTCATCGTCCCTGCGTCGCCATAATTCATCGTCTCTCTCTCTCCCCCTTGTACGATAATCAATCAGTGTCCGAGGATTTCTATCCTCGACATTCCTCCAGGGATCGTTGTTCTTACGGTCCCTGCGAAGTGAATAGGGCCCTCCAGGTTTGTCCCGGTAAGCCGTGGCCCCTGTAGCGGTCACAATCTCTGTAACCTGTCTCGTTAATCCCTTCACCATGTCTCGTATCTCCTTCACTTCCTCAGCCACGGCCTCATTCTTCTCTGACCAGGGATGGTCCTTGAAATCTGGACATCTATCAGTGGCATACTCCTTGTAGAGAGAGAAGTCGCGTCTCCTCATCCCTCTCCACACCARGTCCTTGTAATCGTCTGCCTCTGCCTTTATCGCAAGCTTTAGAACTTCAGGGAAATCAAGCCTGTCGCGCGGAAGATCTCTAAGAATACTCTTTTGCCTACCTTTGGACAAGTGTCCGATGAAGATAGTACAGCGCTCGACCTCTGAGATCTTCCCCTTCTTCATTAGCACGTAGGAGATCTTCTGGAAACGCATCCCAAATGCCCGTACGCTCTCATCTTCATCTTGAGT